TTACAAATAAATTGAATATTCCTCAAAACTACAAATACTGAAATCATTAATCAAACACAGATGGGGTATCCGAAAGCAGCCATAGGCAGAAAATGCCGATAACAGCCACCTGCCGGCGAAGCTGTCGTAGCTAGCCAACTTTCGAGGACTGTTAGGAGCAAGCTGATGGAGAAATTTGTCTTCTACAGTATCTTGCTGTTATTTAGGGCTATTGAAGTGTAAGACAGTGGCGACCTCAGGTTTTTTTGAACTAGGAAGATTTAGAAAAATAGAGTGTTATTAGCTGATCTTCAGCCCCGCAAAGTAATGCAAAATCGTGAAATGCAACAAAATTTAAGAAATTTCATTTCGACTGCGTTCAAGAGAAATGTTAAATCGTTGCCGTCAAATATTAAAAATCATAAAAAAACAAAACAATCTCCGAAAAGAGTGTAAAAAGAAACATTTAATGTGCGTTGTTTCATTATAAGGGGATATGCTTCTTTTTGTTTCTTCGCCCTCTGCTTCTCCCAATCTTTCGCAAGCTCGGGACAAAGAGAATGTATCTGCAGTTATTTTGACTCTGTCAGAAATATCTTGGTCTAAGCTCTTGCTTTCATCACAGACTACGGTTCACACACGGAAATTTTGTTTTTACAAAATGTCAACCTTTCAAATTCGGTGGCATTGTGGATATGAATATGGAGTTCTGGTCGGCTTCACTTTCAGACAGCTTAATTTCACGAGTATTGAAGCTTGGAAGACGAACCGCAATGCAGAGCAGTATACTGTCAATGATAAACAGTGAGCGCTTGATCGCAAACCTCAAAATATCATCAATATTTACAGCTTACTTAGTTAATTAGAATTACAGTGATGTACAATCAGCTTCTTAGAGATATCGTAAAAGTGCCAGGCAAAAGGTCGTATGATGGTTTGTTATGTGTTTTTGCATACAAGCAAACTGCAAAGACGCAGACTGGGAAGGAGCTGTTTGTGTGTGTTTGTGTGTGTGTGTCTGTTTTTGT